CAGGGCCCTTGGCTGCACCTGCCAGTATCATTCTTCCCAAAAAGCCATCCCCTAGCCTTGCAGCTCCCATATGGACATACCAACAGCAGTAACTTGTACTCCCAGACAGGCCCCTGCAGTCCCCAGAGACTGCCTGAACTCTTGTTTAATTACATGTTGATGAGGCTTATCTCACCTGAATTCTTTATCATAGAAAGGTTTGGGTTGTAGGAAACCTTAAAGATCATCTTGCTCCAGCTCTCAGGAAGAACCACACACTGATTTGGCATTAAGACACCAAAGCAGGAAAATTGCCTGATAAAGTCTTCAACACAGCAGCTCCCTACCACAAAACCCATTTCCAGTTCAGGGATCCTTTCACTGAAACTCTTCAATCTTAGGGCATGTGATTATTTTCAAGAATGATGAGAATTAGATCCCCAATGTGATGAAGCCCCATGAATCAAAGAGATTGCCTCTCTCCAAGTTGCTAACAGATGCTCAGAGTACACAGGAGCACATGATCAGCTAGAGCTGGACTGCACAAGAATCCATCTGAGCCTGCAGCAAGTGCTGTCCTGTGGCTCTGAGTTTGGTTCAGAGCTCCTTCTCCTCCCTCTGCAGCCCTGGGGTGCCAGTCAGACTATCTCATACTTCCCCCCTGGAGCCTTCTCTTTCCTGCATGAAGGCCACTCCAGCATTTTAGAGAACAGTTTCAGCCTTCTGTTTCTCCAGCAGCATCAGCTGGGACACATATACCAGTGTATAGCAATGCCTTCCCCCAGGCCCTGCCTCCAGTGGCACAACACATCCTCACTCAGGGACGGCACAGGAAAGTAAATGAAGACTTTCAAACTTGTGTGAGAAAACTACCAAATACCTTTGCAATTACTCAGACATAGTTCTTTCAAAAAAGCTACACCAGCCAATCTTAGACTGTATGGCGGGAAAAAATTAACTATATATAGGATTGGTTTTAATTTTAAGTACTGTATTTCCTAACAGATTAAAAACTGAGCTGAGCAAATATACTGCTTAGTGTCTAGGAATGTAAATGGATTCATCCTGGTAATTTCCAGGCAAGAGCAATCAAGTAATAATACAAGCAATAATGCATGCTGCCCCTTGAAATATAGAAGCTCTGGATAAGAAAAAAATCCATTTAATCATTAAGAGCAAATGCTTTCTCTTAAGAATCAGTATGATCTGACTTTTGATGCAGACACCTTGGGAATAAGTATCTCCGTCTGTTTTTTAAGGCTATGGCAGCTTTCCAAAATTCCTTATACTTCTTTCTTCATCTGAAATTTTCTACTCATGTTTGCTTTGAGGCTTTCTATTCAAGTAGATTAGACTCAGGTTACAACTTCCTTCAAACAGGGGCTTGGGTCATTGATTTTATTGCTTAATGATGAATTGAAAAATGAAATTACCCAAGAATAAAAGTTTTGTCAATACTTCAGATGTTGGCACCTCCCTCTGCTAATGATAGATTAACCCATAATCTATTACTTGTTTATGAGTATCCTATTACTGTAAAAGAATGCATTATAAGTATTTCTGCTCATTGTTGACTTTCACTGCAAAAAGTGTTATTTGTTTTGCTAGAATTTATGAAAGTTTCTCTTGTGCCATCTGGCAACCTCATTTACATGTTTCACATTGAATATAGAAGCACCATTAAGTATCTGTTTAAGTTTCCTCAACACAATGCTTTATTTTTATTATCAGAAACTGTTTTCCTCCTGGTCACCAGCAGTAAATCCATATTCTTCCCAGCTAAACATCATTTCACATTCCATTTAATCTCAGATGAGTTTCTTCCTATATACTCAGAATACAATTTAGGATGCAGATGTCAGGGATTTTTGCTTTCAAGCACACACACAGCTTCATTCACAGAAATCAAAACCTGACATCACACCTGACAGTTATGAGGTGCCTGTTGCACAAGCAGGATCCACACCACACATTTCAAGAGACAGCAAGAGAAGTTTATTGCATTCACTGCCATCACAGGTTGGCAAAAACAGTCCCTTGACTTGGAACACCACCAGGAATGGCCTGTGTCCTTGTACTAAAAAACCACCCCACCTTTGTTCTCAACAATCCCACCTGCACTCCTCAAGGACTCACCATGGTCTATAAAAGGGATAAGCAGGCACTTATCTAAAGGGAACAGGAAAGGACAGCCCTGGAACTTCATTAACACAAGACACTGGGGTAGGAAATTAAAGAGCCAGAAAGAACCATCTGGGTTACCAGTCCCCTGCCATTTAGGGAGCTACTCCAAATGCTTCATCCCTCTGTGACTGAATGCAACCATGTTCTTGAAGTGACAAAATCACCTAATTTAGCATTTGCAGCCAGGCTGTTACCTGCCACCTCTGCTTAAGTCACAACAGATTTAGAGCAAGTTTGGATTTTTTGTGTTTTGGCATTTGGTGGGGGTGTTTGTTTTGTCATGTGTTTACATGTGTTTTATATAAACAGAAAACATAACACTTATCTAGGCTTCACACAATAGAAAAAAGTAATTAGAATATTCCACAGAAATATTAATGGTCACATTACCTAGCTCTGTTAACCAAGTGACTAACACCCAGGAAGGCTCATTCAGAATTTAACATAATATAAAACACCTACATAATTCACACAAAGTAGTGAAACATATATTATTACTTAAGTAAATCCTTCTAAACTGCTGACTATAATTCATTAAGCCAAGAGCCTTGATCTGAGAAGTTAAAACATCCTTAACAATCACCCCCAACGCACCAGTGTCACACAACTCCACCTGCACACAAGGCCCCAGAAACATCCATCACAGCTTCGCAGTTTTATTCCTGTGATATCTTATCACACAACTAAACCTCCCAGCAAACCTTCGGTCACTGCTGCATCCCTGTTGGAGTTTGTTCATTTCAGATTCATCCTGAATGCATTCCCCTATATTCTCCCTACCATTTTTTGTTTTGCCAACCAGCACATTACCTTCTTCCATGCCAGACTTCACACGTAAGAGCTGTCTCAAGTACATGCAGTACTCACTCTACTTCTGTATAACCCTGCAGAACCCAAAAACAAAGCCTGAAAGTGAGGAAACAGCCCAAGTGCCAAGACAAGCCCTCCATGCTGAGCCAGGCATATTCTCAGCTCCCCACAGCCATCTGTCAGTAACTGCACCTGACAAGGCAAGCAAGTGCAAGTACCTGAGGCAACAATCACCTTCCCCTAGTTGTACGTATCCAACAGCTCTAATGCAACGAGGTACAAGTTGTGGTGGTAGCTTCAATGACAGCTGCAAGCTTATGTGTGGCATTTTTCATCTCAACAACCATTTCAGCCATTGAAGGTCCTCTCAGGGCTTACCTGCCACCTAAGACTTTTTTCCCCAGGTGCGCTTCTTTTCCTCGCAGTGCTGGAGTTCAGGATTGCACCAACAAACCCTCCCATTTCAGCATCACCCTGCAGTGATCAAGAAGGGAGATCACTCTCTGCATCAGCTGCACAAATTCTAAACCTCACCATGCACCTGTAAAGTCACAGACCAGACCAGTTCTGCTGAAGAACAGAACTTCTGGGCACTCAAGGACCTTCTTCAGACAAGGTAAGCGCTAGAAACAGCCCTTAGATCTCTGTGTGTGTCTCATCCACAAAGCACTACACAGGAATGCCTGTAAGCTCTCAGTAAGTATTACTGCATGTGTGCTGCAACACAGGAGACAGGAACTACAAATCTGATTTTATTTCTTAATGCAAAACGCATTCTGTTCTGGACACAGGATGAAATACTTAAATTAACAGCAAAACTCAAAAACAACTTGGAAAAAAGCATAAAAGGGACTTTCATCATAAACTACACTGTGGAGGAAAGCAATTGGCACATTTTTTAAGTGCACAAACTGTAATTGCATGAACTTGAGTGTGAAATATAATGAAGCTGGGGAAAAAAGGACTGAAGACACACATGTGCTGTTTTAAATAAACAGCCTCCAAAATTACTATTTAACTGGTCTTAATAACATCTGAATCTGTAAAGCTTTTACTGACTCAAAAGCAATATCCCCTGGAAGCATGACTTTATTATTCTATCATCATTTCAAATCATTAATTAAAACTTAGTAGGAACAAGCCGGTGGCCTTACAGAAAATAAACTTAAAAAAAAAAAAAAAGCTTTCTACTGTATGCTCTAGTGGTAACTTTTCATCAGAACAGCCCAAACACAATGTCAAGCCCCTCCATGCTAACAACTATTCCACCTGAAAAAGCAGCAAAGATCTCTTGCATTTGTTTCCAGAGGCTACAACGGTTAAACTTGAAAATGCTTTCCTCAAAACTGCACAAACACCTTCAGCTTCCTGACACAGACACCTTTGCCCCCCAAAATAAATATTTTGTCTATAAATACTGAATACTGGAAACCACAGGCAGCCTAAAACAAAGCCCCAGAGATACTGATTACATGGGATCTCTGAGAAAATACTGAGGAAAACAATACAAATACAGACCACTAGCTAGAAAATCCCCCACAACCCTTTGCATTAGTTAAAGGGTCAGAAGAAAATTCATACAGTAGCAACTAAAACAGACCATTACAGAAAATCACAGTAGGCATCTATAACAGTTAAGAAAATAGATGCTAGACAATTCTAAAGCCTTTCTTCTTCAAAACTGCAATATTTTATCTACATTAAGTAATTCAGAAGAGCCTGTACCCAAAAATACTTATGGCAAGAAAAAATCTTAAATATATATGAGACAGTAAGTCATAAATTAAAACAGCAAGGATATTATAGCTAAAATAAAGTCTAATTTATTATTCTAGACCCAAAATTTTATTTCTATAAGTAAAACTTATTACTCTTTTAGTAATGACTTCACTGCAATACAACTGTAGCCCAGCCACCTAAGTCTATCTAAACCCCAGAACTCCACCACATTACTGACCACTCCCTAGCCAGGGCCCTTATATAAACCCACCCTTAGCACAGTTCTGGAGGCTGCTTCTATAAATTTGGCAATGGCAAACAGCTGCTGTTCCCAAACAGTGGGGAGTGTGAAACGAGGAGTTGCTTCTTCCTGGTAAGTGGGGCTGTTCTGGGACTTTTCTTGGTCTCGGGGGGCTTCTATTTTATGGTTGTTATTGGTTTGGTTTTTTTTTTCAATTTTAGTATTTAATTTAGTAGTTTACATTTACTATAAAACACAGAATGTAGTTACATGTAGGGGAAAGTGGCTTTTAAAGTATCTAGTATAATGGGTTGTTTCTCTAAAGGCTATAGGATAGGCTCTAATAGCTCTGTAAAGTTCTCTAATAACAGCAGCTTGTAGATATTAAGAAAGAAAACGCAGTAGCACTGCAAGTACAGTGGGAGTATTAATGACTGCAGCACATTGTGACTCACAGAGCTGTTGCTTACCCTCAAATGAGCTTGTTGAGAGAACAAGAAAGTGATAGTAAAATAGGTGTATAAGAGGACTTTGTTCTCTCTGCTTGGATTTACAGAGAGGATGGAATCCCACAAGTGGTGAGGCTCAGAGGGGATCTGAAGGGACACTCCTTGAGCAAGGACTGACCTCAACCAGGCTCTGTGTCAATGCTTTAATACAAAGCAAGTAGTTAAGGTGCTCAGCAGCTTGGGCTGTACTCTGACGGGTCCTTGTTACAGTTTGAGGGTTGAGCTTCTCTTTGTCAAGAACTTCAGCTCATTTTTGACATGAATGTTGCTGCAGGGTCTCATTCTATCTAGGCAGCTGCTAGCTCCCCACTAATGCTGTAACAAAGTTTGTGGCTTCACAGTGCCATCAGTGAGTGGTAATGACTTCATGGGAGGCTTCTGAAACCATGAGGAGAGAAAGGCAACTCAAGCAACAAATCAATTTTGTGCTTCACAGCCATGACCTAACACAGTGATCTTGCAGCTGCCTTTACATGCTGAAAGGGGAGAAAATGCTGTTCTACAGTAACTATAACTCTGAGCAGAAATTAGATGTGTGGCAGGAGCAAACACTCCACAGTAAACGCTTATCCCAGTGTAAAATTAATGGTATGTCTTAAAAGTTAGTAAATAAGCATTAAAAACCTAACAAAAAATGTTTTTGCAGTAGAGCAATGGCAGTAAGTGGCATATACGCTGTTTTATTGTGTACTGCTTTTGTATTAATTGATATTTGGTGAGGAGAGAAGCTAAACCCACCACGTATCGACAAAGTAAATCTCATATTTTCCTGGATAAAAACCACAAATATTGATCAGAAAGTAACATAGATCGCTGGTCAAGTGCTTTTCCATGCAGAGCATGTGAAACCAGATCTACAGAATATCAATGTTGTCACATTCAGTAATTTATGCTTACAATTTAACTTCCAGTAAAGTTAATTATCCCTATAGAGGAAATGGACTTACTAGAAAAAACAGTTGTGTTATAATTAAATTAGTTGACTTCCTTTGTACAGATGACACAAAACACAAAGATATGCAGTTAAGATGCAAAATTGCATGCGAGTGTACCCTGTGAGCATATCTTCTGCATCCTAAATTTAATACTTAAGATTTGCCTTCAGTTTGTTATTGTGTGACTTCAGTTAAGTATGTAATAAGGCAATTAGGAAATGACAAATTGCAAACATCTTCAAATTCTAAACTAGTTCAAGTTCCAAAAAGAAAGAGCTGCATGTGAACAAAACCAAATATTTTGGTCCTTGAAATCATGAATGAAGCATGGCATGTCTTACAAATCAGGTCTCAGACATAACTATCAGAATCTGATAACTAATTTTTTTCTTTTAATGAAAGCAGGAGTTACCTGAATTATTTTTGGTTTTTTTCTTTAGATATGACATGGTACTGTGCCTAAAAAAAAATATTTCTGAACTATATTTTGTAGTATAAAACTTACTGAACATATTAATTATTGCTTATCCTGACAAGAAGGATTTGGGGATGAGAGACTGGACAGGACCCAGCCATGTGCACTCACAGCCCAGAAAGCCAAGTGTGTCCTGGGCTGCAGCAAAAGCCCTGTGGGAGGGGATTCTGCCCCTCTGGTCCACTCTGGTGAGACCCCACCTGCAGTGCTGCCTCCAGCTCTGGGGTCCCAGCACAGGAAGGACATGGACCTGCTGGAGCAAGTCCAGAGGAGGCCATGAAAATGACCAGAGGGTTGGAACAGTTCTCCTGGGAGGAAAGGCTGAAGACTTTGGGATTGTTCGGCCTAGAGAAAAGAAGCCATCTGGGTGACCTTATTGTGGCTTTCCAGTACCTGAAGGGAGCCCACAAGAAACATGGAGAGGGACTTTTCACAAGATCCTGCAGTGACTGGACAGGGTGAATGGCTACAGACTGAAAGACAGCAGGTTTAGATTAGATGTCAGGAAGAAGGTCTTCACTGTGAGGGTGGTGAGGCACTGGCAGGTTGCCCAGAGCAGCTGTGGCTGCCCCATCCCTGGAAGAACTTGTCAGGTTGGATGGGGTTCTGAGCAACCTGGTCTAGTGGAAGGTGTCCCTACCCCTGGGAGTTGGAACCAGATGGTCTTTAAGGTCACTTCCAACTCAGGCCATTCTATGATCCTATGATCTACTGTGGTCTTGTGTTCTCTGTACCTTAATAAATCTCCATAAACCCTTGAGGGGTGTTAGATTCCTACAAAAACAGTGGGGCTAAACACTGCACTGGTACAGTGCCCAAGCTGAGATCTGCTGTTACTGTGCAGCTTGAACTCTTAACACTCCTTAGCATTTGATCCTCAGGGCTCCCAACACTTATCTCAATTAATCTCAACAGTTAATGATTAACACTCCTGAAAATCTGCTCCATGCTGTCTTCAAGTACTCAGGAAATTAAACCTTTAAGGACCACCCATGAAAAGTTTGGGTCAAGTGATTTGCCTTGTATCATACAAGCTCTGTGATAAGAGCTGAAATAAGTACAGGCATCCACAGAGGTTTTTCCTCAAGATGAATAATACTCTCACAATCTGCATTCTTGATCTCCTTAACTAAGCCCACTTCTGGAGGGCAAAAAAATCCGATTCAAAGCTTGTTCACCACAGACTTTAATTCTTTATAAGCTTCTGGCCTTTAGGAAGAGAAATTGAGATGAGTGTCATCATCATCATACACCCTCCCCTTAAGCAGGCAATTTGTCTGATTAGTTCTTTCAAATAACTTTTTTTCTTTACTGAGAAGCAATGACTCTTCATGATGGAGATTATTGCCTTGGTCTATCAGTTTATGTAGGACTGCTACTAGCCTAAGTGGAAGCAGAGTCTGTGCCAATGACTTTTAAAGTGTTAACAGCAGAGAAATGGTGAAACTCTGATTTTTTTTGTTGTCTATTACAAGCTGAAAGAGTGTGAAATAATATTACACAAACCTGTATTGCCTTCTTTTATTCCTGGTCCTGGGTCCTATAGGAGATTATATGTAGGGAAGAGTCCATCTTTAAAAGCAGTATTTCTTGTAGACTGTGTGCAGTATAGTGAAAGAGAACTAACTGAAATAATGGTTTGCCTTTTTTTTTTCTGAAGAAACTAGTTTGTGACCAGTTCAGTTGACAAACAGGAAGTTATTCAGTCACATGTGCTGAAAATACCAGCTCTACCCACCAAGTACAGAGTCTAGGGAGATAATTTCATCTGCACTGCAGTACACTGATATAACTTTGCTTACTTAGACCATTCCTCTCTAATAAAAACACAGAGAGGTGTTTTTATTACTTTCCCATAATCTAAAAGAACACTCAGATACACCTTCACAAGTGAAGGCAGGACACAAACTCTATTTACATCAATGCAACACTTGATGCTGCATATGAGCTCATTCAACTGTGTTGACAGGAACACTATTTTCTGTCTTTTTACCAGCTAATTCTGGTGCCTCTGACTTCGTGGTGAGACAGGCAGAGCTAAGCCAGCTTGGTTATACACTCCCGTTGTTAATTTTAACTGTTCATCTGCGACTTGGCTCCTGGAGATCAGTCTTAGCTGACTAAGGGAAGTGGATGTCGACGATGCCCGTGTTTAAGTCAGTCTGCTGGGCTCAGTGTCGCACCCTCGAGCTGAGCTCTGTCCTCTGGGTATCAAATCTGAGCTCGGCTCTGTGCTTTGGGTGTCATCCCTGGGCTCAGCCCTGTCCTTGGGGTCGCACCCCCGGGCTCAGCCCACTCCGTAGGATCACATCCGTGGGCTCAGCGCTGTCCCTGTGGTCGCACCCCCGGGCTCAGCGCTGTCCTTTTGGAGAGACCCGAACCTCCGGCACTCCCTCAGCAGCAGCGCGGGCCGAGGTCGCCGTCTGGCGGCCCCACAGCGGCAGTGCCGGCGCGGGGCTCTCCCCCGTGCCAGTACCCAGCATGGCGCCCGCCCCTCACAGCCGCCGCTACGAGGCCGCTGCCCTGCCTCAACAGGGCGGCCTCACGTGGCGGGGATTCGGGCACGGCTCCGCTCGGCCCAGCGCCGCTCCCGGCCCCACAGCGCCGTGCCGGGCGGGCCGGGCCGCGCTGCCGCCCCCGTGTGGGCAGAGGAGCCGCTGCAGGCCCGGGCCCGGGCGCCCCGCCGGTCTCCGGGGATGGGGCTCCCTCCGGAGCGCCGGGCGGGAACAGCGTGGCTCCCGCGATGGGCCCTCGCCCGGGGGAGCCGCCTGTCCCACTGCTCGGCGTGCCCGGGGCGCCTCTTCCATAAGCTTTGTCTCATACCGCTAAAATCCACAGCTTTTTGATCTCCCGGAGCTCTGCTGCAACCTCGCCTCCTCCAGTATCACCTTAGTCTCTTTATTCATGCTCGGTTTTCCTCTACACACTGCCTAAGATGTTTCTTGGCTGAAGTGATCCTTCGCCTCCTTAAAACCTGCAATCCAATCCCTGACAGGCAATCTTCTACCCCTAAAATAGGCTCTCTGCATCCCAGGGCATTCCTGGGGCGCAGGTGCCCTGGGAAGGCTTGTGCCCACAGCTTTGCTCTTCCGTGCAGCAGCACGGCTCATCTGTGTCAGAGTCGGCAAAACACACGGATGCAGGAGCTGAACACTGCCAAACTGCTCACATCTGACAAAATCTAGGGTCCAGGGCTGCTTGCTTGTCTGAAGGATATTCCTGGCCATTGCAATGCTTTCAGCTTACTCCTTTGGGTGCAGAGCAATGGGTGTTTCTGCAGTGCTCCACTGTGATAAGACCTTAATCAGCCCATTTCATGGAGCCGTTCAAGGAGTTGTGCTGAAGCTGTTAGCAGTAGTGTGGAGCACGATCAACTGAGGGCTGAGTTTGTGGCTGAGGCTTCTGCCTAAATTGGCAGTTGCTATGTCACTGCAGAATGCCATCACCTCCCTGTAAACCTCAGGTCCTTTGCAAATGGCAGAAGATCAGAGGGGTCCCCTGAGATCACAGGCAACGACGGATCAACTCAGTGATGCAGGAAAGTCTGAGTGCCCATCGTGCATCCTGGCTCGCCAGGAGCTGAGACCTGGAGCAGAGGGTGGGGGGACACAGCTGTGCTGTGCCACGGGAAGGGAGGGGGAAGATGGAAGGCATCAGCCTTCAGGTGCCATCAGGCCTGACTGGAGCCTCCTTTCATCTGCTGCTTAGCAAACTTCAGATGCAGTGGTTCGGAAGGATTTCTCTCGGCTCTAGGCAAGAAAAGCACTTTTATACTTCTGTGCTTCTGCCTTCAAAGCATGCCCCGGTGTGTCCGCCGCGCCAGGCGTAATGACCTGAGCTGTGTCTGTTCGGGCCTCCTCTGCCGGGAAGGGAAAAGTCCCCTTTTGTCCGGGGGGCTCCCACAGCCCCTCGCTCAAAAGCGCGGCGATGCACGAAGCTCTGCCTCCATCTCCTGGGAGCTCTCCCTGGAGTCTCCGTCTGCCTGGACGTGGGCTGCCTGCAAACTCCTTTGCGCTGCGACGCGTGACGGCCCCGGGGCCCCTTCCCCCTCTCCCCGCGGCTGCATCGGGGCCGGCGGGGCCCGCCCTGACCCCGGCCCGGCCCCCCGCTCCTCTCCGCTCCGCTCGCAGTCTGCCCGCCTCTGCCGGCCTGTGCGGACCTGCCGGGCCGCCCCGCCGGGCCAGGGGCACACCCAGCAGGGTGTGAGCGCAGCGGGAGCCGAGTGCTGGCACGCATGGGCCCGGGGAGAGGCAGCCCCGCGCTCACCTGGCCCAGTCGCGGGAGCCCGACAGCCGCGGGGAGCAGGTATTTGGTCCCGGGGTGGCTGCCCCGGCCGTGGGGATGCTGTCCTGTGCCGCCAGAGCTGGCAGGGCGGCATGGGGAGGGGGTGATCATCCCGGCTCTGCGGGAAGCTGAGGGGGGAAGGACGGGGGTTGCCCGTGTTGTTCCCACGCTCTGGAGAGCAGGAACGGGGAGCCCAGGACTGGCTGCCCGGGCATGAGACCGAGAGTGGGGGATCTGGGCCTGCCTGTGCTGCTCTTGCTGTTTTGGGGTCACGCTGTGCCCCATGCCGAGCCCATGTTCTGTCTCCGTCCTACGAGGAACGGGAACAACGGGGTTAGGCACCAGCTCCTGCTGATCTGCCCGGTGGCACACAGCCTGGGCTGGCTCAGCTCGGCTCCTCCACAACACGGTCCTCTTGATCTGCATATGGCCACCTGATTGTCCTGTGCGAGCCCCCCTGGGGCACAGGGGTCCTTGTGAGGCTGCCAGCACACGCTGCCGTGTCGGGTGACTGTGGCCATGGGTTTGTCACCCCTTCAGACTCCCTGTGCCTCGCACACTAGGGCTGTGAGTGTGCTGTGGGGGTTGTTTGGTGGGAGCTAAAGGAGGGGTCTTTCCAACCATGATGGACCCCTAGCATCCAGTCTGCTGCTCTCCCGCTGGAGCAGAAGCTGAGCAGGGTCTGGTGCGTGCCTATCCCTGCTCTGTCTGGGATGTGTGCTCTGCACAGGGGTGTTGTGCCACAACCGCTGATGCTACTGCTGCAATCTGAGCTGGAGAACGGGGTGGCATTTCCCCTCCAAACCCTCCAGACTGCACCGTTGGGGCAGATTTGTGACCAGTCCTGTGCCACTCTCTGCCAAGCTCCAGTCTTGGCAGCAACTGGCCTTTGGAGCAGCTGAGTGCTGAATTGCAGCTGGTGCCCACAGCCACTCCTCCTTACTGTGTACCCTGTGTGGGAGCCTGCCAGGAGCTGCTGACACCAGTGCTCTGCCCATGTGAGCATTGACAGGGGACAGGGTGACTCCAAGTGAAGGCTGCCTGAACCACTGGTGCCTGGTGGAAGTGGTGACCATGGTTCTGGTGACAGCAGGGGCATGAGCCTGCAGGCAGAGCCCCTGGGCATCAGGAAGGAAAATATCTGGACCCATGGCTTCCTGTACTTGTGTTAAGACCGACTCCTTCAGTGCCATCACTGAGTGAGTCACAGCTGCTGGTGTGGTGCCTACATGGTGGAGGGGGCAGCGGATGTGGGGCTCTGTTTCGCTGTTCATCATCTGTGCCTTGGCTGGCTGGACCTGCTGATAGCAGCCCCTGGACATCCCCCAGCCTGCAGAAGCTGCCTGGCCAGGGATGGGGTCCTGCTCTCAGGGTGGCACCTGCCTGTACGTGACCCTGTGCTCTGTGTGGGTGCTGGGGAGGACTCTGCACCCTGGAGACCCCCTTAGTGGTTGTATTTAGGAGCAAGGTGACAGGTTGGGATTACAGGGCGAGACCAGGCTGACCTTGGCCACAGCCAGGGCATGGCAGAGCTGCTCTGCTCTGGCTGGCTGGGCCAGGGAGGACCTGGACTAGCTCTGCTCCCTCTCTCCACGGCCCAGGTTGGAATGGGACACAGCTCTAGGAGGCACACCATTGCCTCCAACATTGGAAAGGATGTAGCTGGTAGGATGTGGTCAGCTGGCTCTCATACCTGCCTCAGTGAAATTAGAGCCAGGCATAATCTGCAGGGTAATAGTGTTGCATAGTGTGCCTGGCCTGTTGGGGAGGGTGGGGTGAGGAGGAGGAGCAGCTCCGCAGCACGACAAGCAATAATAAAGATGGGATTTCTCTGGATGATTGAGGAAGACCTTGTTTTGGGCTCCCTGCTTCTTCCAGCCAAACACCAAGAATCTGGGGATCACAGCAAAACATCCTGGCTCTCTCTCCCCTTGCCAGTGCTTGAGGAACTCAGAGGTGGTCCTGCCCCCAGCCTGGATCTCAGTGACTGTAGAAATGGGTTCCCTCACAAGCACTTGGACCAAAGCCATCCAGTGCCTGCTCAGCTGCAGCTCCTCCAGCCACACTTGGGATTCCTTGGTGTGCAGTTTGAGCTAAGGGGCTGCCAGGATGGTGCTGCATCAGCAAGGACCTGGACTCAGAGTTCAGAACGGGAACTTCCCAGGCTGTTTCATGTACCCCCAGCTGCAAGCAGGAGCCCCAGACGGTGGCATGGCGCTGGACAGTCCTTGCAGGTGTGAAGCCTGAGTGCAGTGTTGCTGTCAAGCTGACTGTCAGGGCTGCTTGCCCCTGGAGCCTGCACAGTGGTCCTGGCTCCCTGGCAGAATGCTGAACCCTGGGCTGGGGAGCAGGCCCTGTTCCCTGCCAGCTCCGGGCTTGCTGCAGCTTGTTGGCTAAAGGGTCCCAGCACAGCCTGCTGAACAGGTTGGGCTGCACCCAGTGCTGCCTCTTCCCCTGGCACCATGCCTTGCCTGGGGACACAACCAGCAGCCCCACGGTGTCCCAGCACTCTGGGCCACCTGCCAGGGTACCTGGACACAAAATGCTACGGTGCTCCATCCCCTCGGGGTGGGGTGGTATGTTGGGCAGCCTGTGCCAACACACTGTGTATCCTCCGCAGGACACCTGACCTTTGCTCACTCTGGGACAGTCTGCTGCTATGGCAGACCCCCCTGGCTGCTGCTCTGCCTGTGCCACCTGCCTGCTCTGCCCCTACAGCTGCCAGTGGATCACTGCCAAGAAGGAGAAGAGGAAGGGCCTGAGAACCACTAAGGTGATACCTGAGTGATGCTGAGCCCCTTTTTGGGAGTCTTAGAGCAGTGGCTGGGATGGAGTAGGGCTCTGGGCTGGGATGCTCAGCCCAGACAGTGATCTGCTGACCTCTTGCTGCTCCTGCTACCCAGGGCTGAGCCCCAGGAAAGCTGGGGTGCACCCTCACTGTCCAGGAACTGCTCTAGCCTGGAGAGGTGAGAGTGTGAGCTGTGCTCCTCCTGGGTGACAGAAAGGGTAGAGCAGCATTAGTGTGCATCTGCAGCTCTTGCACGTGCCTGGAGCAGAGCAGAGCCCTAGGGCTGAGGTGGCAGCAGGTCCTGGGGCACCTGGCCAGGCACGTGGGAGACACAGTTCCTGGGCTGGGTGCGGCCCCACCAGGAGGGTGTCCCCAGCAATTTGTAACCTGGGAGTGGTGAGGCCCTGGGATTTTCTGAGGTCTCCGACTCCCATGGGAGTGGCCCTGCTGCTGCTTGTCCTGTCTTGCCTGGAATGTACAAATAAGTCTGGGTTGCTAGGTGTCCTCTGGCACCTGTGGCACCCCTCACGTCCCCCACACACGTGGGACTAGTGCCTGGGGACAATGTAGCTGGACCCAGTCTGCAGACTCACCACTACAATGGCAGTTCTGAGGCCATGCACCCCTCTTTGCCCAGCCCACGGATCATCCAGCTAGAAGGGAATGAGACCTGGCTCCCTGCCCCTTCTTCTGTCCAAAGTCCCAGCCTGTTCCCATGGAGTGCTGCATGGCAAAGGAGGCAGTCTTGCCACAGGGGCTATCCTCCCCAGGCTGGCCTAGGCAGATTTTTAGTTTGTTGTAGGACATGCTGATCCATCTTTCTGTAGCAAGGGTCAGACAAAAGAGCCAGCCAGGGTAGATCTGGCCCTTCTCCATGGGGCAGCTCAGTGCCTGGACCCCTGGGCCAGTACCTGCTGTGACCCCTGCTGCTGGCTGGGTGATACCCAGGGGTCTCAGAAGCCTGGCTGGGGGCTAGGTGCCTTGAGGGTATGTGTATAACTCTCATCTCTGGCTTTCAGTATGACTGCAGCTGGTTCATTTTCCTCTTCTGCGTCTTCCTCTTCACATTGGTGTGGCTCTACTTCGCTATCATCATCCTCAATGATTTCCACAACTTCAATGAGTGAGTAGGATCCCACATCCATTGTTCCCCACATCACCCCTGCCCCTCTGACCCTCCCCTTTGCTGGCAGGTTCATCTTCAGGCAGAGGAAGCTGTGGCTAGACTGGTCCCTGGTCCTGCTCATAGCTACGGCTGTGCTGATCAGCTACTCGTCTGTGCTGCTGGTGAGCCCTCCTGATCCTGCTGGGCTGGGGGGAAATGGATCTGTGCTGAGCACAGGCTGCCCTGTGCTGGGAGGAGCTGGGTCAGCCTGAGCACGGCCAGAGGCCCTGCCTGTGATGGGAGGCCAAGCTTCTGTGGCTGAGTCCTGTGCCCTATGAGGGTGGGGTGTGGGGTATAGCCCAGCTCTGACAGCTCCTTGCTCTTGCAGGTCCTGGCTTTGTGCTTGCAGCTCTGTGGCCAGCCCTTGAAGCTTCACTGGGTGCACAAGGTGAGAGACTAGGGGTGTGGGGAGGTGGTGCCTGCCCTGGCTGCCCTTGCACCTTCAGAAGCTGGGACCAACCTAGTGGGGCTGTATATGGCTGCTGTGTCCCCAATGAGTGGCTGTGTGTGGCCGCTGAGCTGGGCTGCAGCTCGCAGTTCCTCAGCCACGTGTCTTTGGGATGGGAACATTCCCAGTGCTCAAAGCATCGAGTGCAGAGCTCAGCTGCAAACCCAGATGGGGAAAGTGGGGTATCAGGGCTTGCAGGGGTTCATAAGGAAGGGATGAGGAGGACTCTGCCTGGCCTGCAAGGTGCTGTGTGCTCCCCTAACTGCCCTGTGCATGCCCCACAGGTCCTGCTGATCCTTACTGCCCTGGTGGTGGCTGCAGCCTTCACAGGGCTGGGAGTAAAGTGGGCGGAGGAGTGGAAAAGTGCGCGTATCTCCCTGCAGGTGAGTCACCTCCATGGCAGGGTCTCCCCCGCTGTACCCAGTGCCCAGCCTGTGGGGTTGAGCTGAAGAGTGCTCAGTGAAGCCCCCAGCACAGCTGTGTGCACTGGGGGTTAATTCCCAGTTAATTCCCTTGACTTCTGCTGCCTTGCCAGGTAAGGTGCTCCTTCTGCCCCTGGAGCAGCTGTCAGACTGATGAATGGTGGCTGGACTAGAGCAGGGGGTCTGTTCTGTCCCCCAGGAGCCTGTTCCTCCCTCCCTGGCACTGTGGATCTTCCAGCAGTACTGGCTGCAGGGGCAGATCCCTGGCATTGGAGCCATGTGTATTTTGGGGACAGACTGGTGCTGGCTGACACCCTGTGTTTTTTTGCCTGTCCAGGCAACAGGTCCTTTTCTGCACATTGGAACTGTGGGGGGAATGACGCTCCTTGCCTGGCCCCTGGCCAGCTTCATCTACCGCACCCGCAGTGCAGGTAATCCCCCTCCAAGGTCTCCACTTGTCCCCTTGGCTGGTGCCTGCTTCCTTCCACCCAGCTGAGCAGCACTCTTGGCAGTGTGGTGCTCAGGGAGCACCAGTGCAGTGGAACAGGTCCCCAGTGGGGTAGTAATGCCTGCTCTTGGTTGCTTCTCACAAACAGCCCTTGTTGCAGCTTCAGCCCTCCCTGCTTTGCAGCTGAAGGAGGGCTGCAGGTGGCAGTGCTGCCAGAAGTTCTGAGCTGGGCAAGGGCATGTGGTGGGCCAAGAATAAATCCACAGTGTTCCCGAGGCTGTGGATGCAATGTTTGACCTAGGGCAATGACAGGTTAATGCCAGGTGAAGCAGCCTTGGCTTATTCCTAGTGACCTGCAAAATGCTTCCTCTGCACCTCATCCCCTTCAGCTTCTGCCTGTGCCTGCAGGTCTCAGGGTGTTTCTGCTGCTCGTGTACTGTGCAGCGATGATTGCATTATACCTGGCTCCCCTGGGAATCACCTCCCCTTGCATCATGGAGGAGAACCAGCTTCCCCCCAAGCCAGCCCTAGTTGGCCATCGAGGAGCACCCATGGTGAGTGACCAGCACCCTGGCAGTGGTCAGGGTGGATGGGGCAGGCTGCTCCACTAGGAAAAGCCAGGCTGTGCCTGGGGCACAGATCCTTGTGGTCACAGGCCTGGGTGAGCTCTGGCCAGCCTAGAACATGGTATCCCCACTGCAGCCAGGGCAGCTCTGGCCTGGAGGATGGGTGAGCACAGGGTAAGGAGGGGATGCAGCAGCTGCAATACAGAGCTGCTTCCTGAGCAGCAGGAGCATGCAACTCTGAGCAGAAAGCCTGGCTGTGTAGAGTGGGCTGGGGAGCAGGGGCAAGGCAGGCCCTGGTTGTCTATCCCCAGTCCTTTTCCATCCCTCACCATGCCCAGGTCACCCCAGTCTCATTATGGTTGCCCTAGAGCCCAGCCAAGCTGCTGGATGCATCCAGGCAGGATGAATGCCTGCCTCTTGCCCCATCCTGCCCGTGCTCTCTGCACTAACATCATTCCTTTTTCCAGCTGGCCCCTGAGAACACCCTCATGTCACTCCACAAGGCGGTGGAATGCGATGTGCAAGTCTTTGAGACAGACGTCATGGTGAGGTAAAGGAGCTCAGAGGGAGGAAGGGGTCTGTGTATCCTGGGATGTCACCTCCCACAGGGGGCATTCTGGAAGATACCTGGAGAACTGATAATAGCCTGCATTTGGAGGCAGCCTGTTCAAAGGGCTCTGCCACTCCCACCCTCCCAGTGTGGGACTGGCTCCAGCTTGGTGTCCCAATGATCTGGGGGAGGTACTGAGTTTCTGTCCTCCTCATACAGATTGCCTTCCAGGGAGGGAGGCGACATCAGGGGAGGAAAACAGACCCTGGCTCCAGTTCATCACATGTAATCCTGTTACTGGGACAGCTCTCAGAGTGCAAGGAACTGCTTGGTTGCTGGCTTGGTCTCTAGGTGTAAAGGGCCAAGAATCAGGGTGGAGGTTACTTTAGCAGGTGGCTGGGAGGGGGTAGAAATGCCAGGGCAGGGGTAGGAGACAAACAGCTTACTACACATGACTTTCTTCTGTGCTCCTTTGCCAGTGCTGATGGGGTCCCATTCCTCATGCATGATGAGGAACTCACCAGGACCACCAACGTGCAGGCTGTGTTCCCTGAGAGGGCTGCCCTGAACAGCACTGCCTTCAACTGGACAGACCTCCAGCAGCTGGATGCTGGCAGCTGGTTTCTAGAGGTCAGGAATATCCTTAGGGTGGCTGGTGAGGAATGGGTTCATTTTTGGTGAAGCATTAGCCCTGCCCTGGGGCTCCAGAACTTTTCCTCTGGAGCACTGGTCCTAGCAGACACCTGGACAGGGTGCAGAGGGCTGCACAAATCCCTTGGGTGCAGTTATGCCCCAAGCTGGGGTTTGTTCTGACTCCTCAGCTGAGTCATGGAGGAGGCTGCTTTGAGAGGGGATGTCTCCTGTTTGCTCTGAGCTGCACAGCCTGCCTGGGCTTGAAGGCAGCTGTGGCCAGGCTCTTCCCAAAAGGTGACTAAGTACTGCTGAGCAGCTTTGAATGCCCACAGGTGTTGAGGCTGCTTGAATTCTGTTGTTAGTGGGGAGAAGGGTAGAGGTGCCCATGGATGTACATAGGGAGGTTCCCTGTGCCTGTTTGCTCTGGAGAGCACATGGAGAGGCCGGTGCAGGAAACTGAGGGTCAGAGACAGGCACCAGTTTGGGATGTGGAAGCTTACAGGTGGTGTGCCTGTGATGACTGCCCCTCTCTCACCCTTGCAGCGGAGACCATTTCCCACTGTGCAGAGTCTTTCCCCTGGTGATCGCAAGGAGGCAGCTAAACAGAGGATCCCGTCCCTGGGACAGGCTCTAGAGGCAGCCAAGCAGAGCAACATCTCCATCATGTTTGACCTTCGGCCTGAGAACCACAGTGACTACCAGAACTTTGTCAACGTCACCCTGGGAGTGATTCTACAGTCAGGCATCCCACTGCAGCAGGTGAGCTGGTCACCGCCCCACCCCTGCCAGGTCCTGCTGTCACACCCCTGCTGTGGTGGGAGGTGCCCTGCCAGCCACACTGACACCCCATACACCAAGTGATCCCTGCTGGGCAGCCCTGCCCACGTGTGGGGTTCTCTAGCTAGAAGTTGCCAGTAATTAGGATTTAATGCCTACAGCTTCAGACCCCTCCAAATACTTCAGACCCCTCCAAATACTTCGCTTTCCCAGCACTGGCCACCCTGGTGTGTGTGTAAACAATGACTCAGTCTAGGGAGGAGACCAACATGGCCAGCATGAGCAGGAGTACAATACTGTGGCTTCCACTTCCCCACACTCCACCACACCTCTCCCTGCAGCTCTTGGACTCCTGCTCACCCTCCTGTGTTCCCTTTATGCTTCATACAACTCCTGCAGCACAGGATATGTGCTGCCCTCAGGGGACAAAGCAGCACTCAAATCACCTTTCTTGGCCTTATGGGAATGCAGAGCAGGAGGGGACATAGAAAAAAGGCTTCTACTGTAGTGCTGATCCAAGGTGCATTCTTGCTGCAGAGTTTGGGATGAATGGATTCACTTGAGCCATTCAAGGACCCTGAAAGGACTTAACTCTTGCAGATTTCCTAGGCTAGAACTGGTTTCTCCCTTCAGCAGGACCTGTGCTTATTTCTTGGCTGGGGCAAGCTCTTAGGGGACTGTCCTGGCTGAGATCCTCATGGAAGAGCTGAGTGTGGAGATGGGGGGCAGGAAGCAGCTGTTTAAGCAGGCCGTGTGGACCTGGATGTGCAAGGGAATATTGGAAAGAGAGCAAACTTTTTGGAGCACCTCTCCTCTGCATGTGCTCTCTGGCTCTTGTCTAGGTCCTCTGGCTTCCAGATGGGTTCAGGGAAGACGTAAAACAGCAGGCCCCAGGTGTCCAGCACGTCTATGGCCGGAAGAGACTCGAGAACGAGAAGGAGCCAGAGCTGCACGTCAATCTGCCCTACCAGGACATGAGCTCTGAGGAGATCAGGTGAGAACTCTTTGTCCAAGTACCTGGGAGTTGTGGGGGTCTGGGGACTGTCCCAGGGGCCAGCAGAGGTGAGGGTGCTGAGTACTGGTGTGCTTCCAGGAAGAGCTGGGTGTGTGCCTTGTGAACAAGTGTCCCTATCAGGAAGGGCTGGAGCAGAGGATGGAGCTGGCTGCAGTCCTCTGCCCTGCCAGCAAATCTGCCCTCAGTCTGGATCTCCAGACAGTCACTCCATGAGGCTGCAAATGCTGGATCATATCCCAAATACACAGCCTCTTCTGGCTGTGCAGAGTGTGGTGGCACCCTGCTGGCTGCTCTGACCACGGCTGTCCCCACGCAGGCAGTACCGCCAGGACAACATCTCGGTCAACTTGTATGTGGTGAACCAGCCCTGGCTCTTCTCAGTCCTGTGGTGCTCAGGGGTGAGCTCTGTCACCACCAACGCCTGCCAGGTGCTGAAGGAAATGAAACACCCCATCTGGCTGCTTGTAAGTGACCCCTTGTCCTTCACCCTGCCCCACAGCCCCGTGTCCCAGGCATTTGTGGGTCCCTTTCTGCAGGAGCCCTGTGCAGCTGCCTGGTGGGTGACTTCTGCTTGCTGCTGTACTGGCATGGGATCATGTGACCCTTCAGAAGGGGTTGGTGGCACAGCACACCACCCCTAGCTGGTGTTCAATGGCTTGTCTCGTTGCCTTGCAGCCCAGCAGCACATACTTCATGATCTGGATCGTTGTAGACTGCGTTTCCTTCCTTATCATCATCTGGGCCTTCGTCTTGATGAAGTATGTTTGATCTCTTTCCCCCTCCCGAGGCAGGCCTGTTGGGGGAGGTTGTAGTGTGCCCTGGGTGGCTGGTGCAGACCCAAACCTGCTGCCATCCCTCTTTGGATTCAGGTCCTAGAGGTGTCCTCTCCTGTCTAGCTAAGTAAGACAGAAGTGTGTGGAGGCAACTTTCATCTCCAAGCTGCAGCTGAAAGTCTGCTCTGACCCTGCCTCAAGCTGCTGGATGCCTTAGTTCACACTTCCTAACCCACTCTGTACCCCAGGGTCTGGTGGGCTGAGGCTGGGGGATCCTGGTCCTGCTCCTTTTTACCAGTGCTGCAGGCACTGAGAGCAGTTCCTTCTGGGACTGCGGGGCCCCACAGCTTCCAGCTGGCAGCTCAGGGGAGGGAATGGTGAGACCAGACTTGCATGCTAACATCGACCCTATTCCATCTCCTAGGAAATGTTCCCACAGAAGACGGCCGGCGGGTGAGTGCGCATGGAACGGGAGCTCCCCTCCCCTGGAGCCAGGCTCTGCCTGTGGGACTCTCCCTGACAGGCAGGCAGCTTTCTCCAGCCAAACGTGACTGAGTGGTTTGGGATGGCTGGGGGAGGGAAGGGAATCCCAGCCCAGGGAGTTCCTCCTGTCCTGCCCTTAACAAGCAGCCCTGTGGGACAGCACTAGGGAATCCCACATTCCCCAAATATCCTTAAACCTGCTTTTCAGGCTACTCCGCCTGTCGCTGCGGGATTCTGGCTGCCCACAATGACTGTTTTTTCTCTGTCTCCTCAGAGTCTGAGACGGATGTGCTGCTCACAAAGATCAACAGCTTGATGCAGGAGTGATCCCTCTTGCTTGTCAGCCGTGGGGAGAGGCAGCCAGAGCCCTGTACAGCAGGGAGCACTCCTCAGGCCAGCTTCGAGGCTCCTTTCCTTTTCAGACTCCTTCCTGAGCCTCCCTTCTACCGTGGCCTTCCTGGCTCCTTTCATGGTGCTCAGCTGCCCTCAGCTGAAAAGACTTGGAACTGAGTTGTCATTTCCCACTGGTAGCGGGGAACTAAAGCTTTGCAGGGGTGGCCTAGGGGCAGAATACTTACCCAGCAGTGCTGGAGCTGAGACCTCTCCCTTGGGGTTTGGACAGGAGCAGGGATTTGGGTTGCTCTTTGGTGCAGGGGAAGGGCTGTCTGTGCCTGTTGTCAGCACCTCTGCAGCCCGTGATGGGACACCTGGTTTAAGGGCTGTTCCCTTGGGGGCTGCCCTGTCCCGCGGCTTGAGGAATAGGGAGCGGGGTGTGGAGTGGCTTTTCACACAACAAAGGGGAAGCCGAGCTCTTCACCGTGCCATCCTGGACAGAAATCCTGTCCCTGCTGCTGCTGGCTTCATGTTCACGGGACAGGGTCCTGGCACTCCAAGCAGCAGTTAATGCCTGTTGCTCAGGAGACAAGGCTGGGGGTGGTGGGTGTCAGGGGCTGGCAAGACCGCGCTCACGCTCCTGCTGCTGCTGCAGGGCAGCAGAGGGAGCGGTGGGACTCGGCATCGGTCACGTTGCAGCAGGGCCTTGAACAGGGAGAGGGGTATCGGGTCAGTCTGACTTGTTGCTGTCTATTTATGTCAATAAAGCAGAGGAGCGGCAGACAGAGCCCGCAGGGGTGCGGCGGGCACGCCTGTGTCCTCCCTTCCGCACCTTTCCCGGCCGGCGGCGCTGCCGGCCCGGAGAAGGAGCCGGCGCAGCCCGGACGGTACCGGCCCGGGGCGGGCTCGTTCCGCGGCGCCTCCGTGCCACCTACTGACGGCGCGGGGAACCGGGCCCTCCTCTGCGGGCAGGGAGGGGAGGCCGAGCCGGGCGCGGCACCCCGGGCGCAGGCCGAGGCTCCCCGCAGCCCGCCGGGCTCCGA